GGATTTTAATTCTGGCGACAGCAGCAAAATATAAATAGTAGCGACTTTGAGCGATGGGTTTCGGGGGCAAGCATTAGCATAAATAACGTCACCCGAAACATCATCTAATTAGACGAGTCCACCACGATACATAGCGAGCTCATTAGCATCACTCTATTTGATATTTATGTGTTTTTAATTATTGTAATTAAATATTGGATTTAAAATATTTTTGTGGTTTTTAAATTGAATTGAACTAAGTATTTTTTGTGAATATTTATTATTAATGAACTTGTATTTTTATGTGAAAATATTAATCTATTCATTTAACTTAAGTTGGAGTTTAATTATTTCAATGTTTCCTTCTAAGTCTTGTTTTCTACGTTGGCATGTTACAGCGCGATGTTTTAAAAAGTTATGTCTCGATTTCTTTTGTTTTGTTCCGTCAAGTATTTACTAAAGAATATTACATTCAATATTCACAATAGATGACACAATTATAATATAATATTTAATCGGCTTAAAAAGTTTTCATATATCTATGGACATTGGACTTAGATAAATGGGCATAATATTTATTTAACCAAACTGTTTTAATACATTTAAAAATTATTAAATTTCAAACCGATTTAATGGTATCATAATATTATAAAATTGAGTATAGATATATTGAATTATTTTAAATGTATCCACTTTGTACATATACTATACTTTTTTTATAATATAGATCTATATCTCAGTGGTTATCAAATTATTTTGTCATGAGGGGGGGGGGGGGTGGGGTGGAATAAAGATAACTTTTAAATAAAATTATTATTTTCAAACTAAATTAATAAATAAGATATAATATAATAAATTATACTATACATATTTAAAAAAATGAGGTGATAGGGGATATATCCGTTTGATCACCTCTGGCATATCTAATTATTAAAAGAAATATAGGTATGTTATTTGTGTTAAATCTGGGTTATTTGTTTCCGACAAAAATCTCATTTTCATTTCCGTTGAAATGAAAAAAACGTTCGATTATCATTTCCGCTAATTTCTTTCTATTACCTAAAATTGTATTCAGTTTGAGAACGCCGCGACATACATATTCTATATGAATTGTTTATTAAGTTTTTTCATTAATATTCAAAAATAAAAAATAAAAATGTGGTATAGAAAATTTAATTTTATTAAAAATATATAATTTTCATTTTTTATTCATATAAGAAACATAGTAGGTGGATCTATTATCGTTGAACATTCATTTTTTCAGGAAAAATTTGTTTTGATAATTTAAGCAACTCGAAGATGTTATATCATCATTAATTTCCATCGCCTTTATTTCTAAGAGCGAAACGACTAATTACTTTTGACTTTTAAATGGCAACCTTTATAAAAACTCCATAAATGGCTGGAGTAAACTATTAAATAAATTAGTAGAATATCAGTGGTATGACGATCCCGATTACGAACATCATTCTTACACGTCATGTCCTTGCAGCCTATATAATACAATTTTTTTTCGCCTTTTTAAACTGGCGGTGCGAATAAGACGTAGGTACACATGTGATATTTTTTTTTCTCGTTGAAGAACCGGTGATTTATGACCGTTTTTCTAATACTTTAAACTCATAATGCGTATCGTATACGCAGCAGGCGGTTAGACTCGCAGACCACCCAGAAACCTGAAAAACTCTCGGCTCCAACCTATTTGTCGATTTATATTTTATAACGTATTCGTATTCGGGTATAATATATTTTGTATAGCCATATTGCAATACTATTGTGATACAATATAATAATATGTGACCATTTGAACGTCTCAAACGTGATATACTATCGCGTTTGCCGATCGATCCGGCATACCATCCCGTCGCCACAGGTATCCCGACAACATTGTTATACTCCGGGGACCCGTGCGTGTCGCGTGATTCCCCGACCGTATTTTATATTAATTTCGACCATTGTCGTCATCCCCGATAACGAAAAATGTCTACACGCAAAAGGTCTACCTTCCCGGTTTTTTCCAATTTTTTTTTTTTTTTCCTGTCTACTCGGCCTCTTCACCGCGCGATCCACAATTTACGGTGTGGTGCGCACATTATGTCCCGAATGAGACCGGAGACGGCCAAACGGACGCGGCTGCGGCGGTTTTATTGTGTGCGGTATGCGAGCATATTATTATTATTGTTACACTATTATTATTACTATGTGTTTTATAATATTATAATACCATAGAGATAATAGCAATAATAATACAATCCTCTTCAGCGAACCTACAATATACAATATATTACACACAATAATAATACATTATTCTTACCGGTCGTCTGTATAATAATAAAATAAAACCCCAAAGACCACCTGCATCACGATATTCTATCATCTGCATCTACGTCCCTCATTGTTTTATTGTACTGCAACGTGGCCGGGGTGACCAGTAAGATATACGATACTCAGGGAAGGTTTTTTGGTTCTTGTGAATGTATTTAACCGTAGCTTAGGAGCGTTTATGGTTTTGGAATCTTAATATTACAAATAATTGCAGGTTGGTTTAGTTTGATTATTAATATTTATTAATTTATCATATATTTTGTATACGTACGACTTACGGACATTGGATATGAGGTTGGATACGTAGAAATAAGACGCAGTTCGAGTACTTTCCGGTACCCATTAAGAACTGCCGTCTCTTACATATTTTACGTTGACCGTCGGCAGCACAATATATGCCTTGATGGGAATGTATAGTGTCTATTCAGCGAATATACATATTATGTGTGTCGACTAATAATGATTTAACAATCGTTATTTAAAATTTAAAATAATGAAATAACGCCGCGGTGAGCCGTAAATATTTATCCGTTTTTTTTTTTCTAATTTGTCCGTATTATTTTAAAAATCCATTGGTTTTTCCAATGGAATTTGTTTTTTTTTTTTTAATCATTGTGGAATTTAAAGCTCTATTTCAGCGGTTCCCAACCTTTTTGAGACTATTACCCATAAATCAGGTTAGACATTAACAAATACCCCTTCCTAAAAAAAATTGAGTAAAAAAAAAACAAAAACAAAATATACATTATATTCATAGTTTATTTTAATATATCAAACGAAGAAAACCAGCGACTTTTTGTTTTACAACCAATGAGTAATGGTAATGTTAGTTAATGAGATGGTTGATATTGCTTATTTCTAACAATTAGTTTAATATTCGGTTCAGTTTCGGCCAATGCATATCTTATGTCGTGTTCTAAGTTCAATCGGTTTCTTGCTTTTGTTTGCATTGTTACCATTGTTGAAAACCCATTTTTACACTTGTACGTTGTGGAAAAAGGGATCAGTATTATCAAGGCTTTTTCCGATAATAATGGATACTCGCTACCGATTTTTCGCCAAAATGTTGCTAGTTGTATAGTTTCAAAATCTATTTTCTGTGTGTTGTCTACACAAAGTCCTAAAAATTGTGCATTGAAATACACTTTTATTCACTGAAAAAGGTCTTAGCACCCAAGCATTTACTTGAAGATTTTTCAAATCTGGAAAATATTTTCCGATTGAATCTACTACTGATAATAAGTGGAGAGTTATTTGATCTGTGAATGAGCATTTTTCATTTTTTTCGTCAAGCACTATTGTTAGTTCTGGGAACATTGAGATGTCCTCAACTTCAGTTTTACTTTGGTAAAGTTGCAATTTACGAAGAAAACTGGCAACTTTATCTTGAGCAGTTAAAATATTTGTCATATTCTCTTGCAAACTGAGATTAAGTGTATTTATTTCTCCGAAGAAATCCGCTAGATATGTAAGTTTAGAAATAAATACATTATCCGTTATTTTTGCGTGAAACTCTTTCTTCTTTACCTTGCCGGATATTTTCCTTTTCAGAAACAAAATAATTTCTTCTCGAAGCTCAAGGACTCGGTGCAACACCTTGCTTCGCGACAACCAACGCACCTCTGTGTGGAACAACAATACGTCGAATTTTCCTCCCAGTTCATTACACAAGTCTTTAAAAACTTTTGTATTTTTCGCACAGCTTCGGATGTAGTTTTGATGAAGATGCAACGTCGGTCGACTCATCTAACTGTAATGCAAAGAAAGGACTTGACCTTATTTCATTGAGCACCGTGTCCAAAATATGCTTGCTCATATCCTCGATAAGATTTTTTATAGTGTTGTTAGAAAGTGATATCTTCTTTATCTTTTCAACATGTTGCTCTCCAAGAACGAGCTTAACTGCAACTAATATACAAGGTTTAATGAGGTTCTCTCCAATTGTATGAGGTTTCTTGTTTTTTGCGATTCAAAGAGCGATGCAATATGAAGCTTCAATACCAGCTTCAGTTGACTGAAAAAAGTAGCTGGATGAATACGTACGCACATTTTTTAATGCAGCATCCTTACGTTTGAAAAATCCAATATTTTTTCCTACAAATTGAGAATGACTTCTCTAAAAATGTTCTCTTAATTTGCTTGGTTTCATACTTTCTGCTGTTAGCACTTTGTTACATAGAACACATTGGAGCTTTTCAACACTTTTATCGACAAACTAGGGTAACCCCATTGTAGAAAAGCTTTTTTGTATGATCATTTTTCCCTTGTGACATAGTTTCGGATTCAAAGAATAATTGTCAAAAACCAACATTAAAAAGAATAAAATTATTTCACTGACCTGCTTTTGCTTCACGTCAAAATAATACAAAAATCGACAATATTGGTTGATCAGTGGACGGTACATACAAGTACACTAATAAACCAAGGGTTTACGACTAACTGATAGTTAAAACCATTAAATTAAATATTGATATAATTTTATATTAATAGGATATCAAATGTCAATTTGTTATAGCAAAAAAAATTCCAAGAAATCCAAGATAATAATAAATACCATAAAAACTAAAAAGTCTGAAATATAAAATTATAAATATTTTTTGAAGGTAATAAAATTATGTAGGAAAATAAATTAAATGTGGTATATTTCCTAATTAAAATAAAATAATAATAACTCAAACAAAAACTATACTAAATCTCACAAACTCAATGAAATACACAAAACTCTTTATTAATCGACTGAATACTCTTGTTTTGATTTCTTTCGCTCAACTGGCCCACCATGGCGACTTTCGATATAACTGCAACTGTCAATATAGATGCCAACAAATTAAACATATTACAACACTATGAAAATACAGATTGTAAACAACAAGATTATTATCAACAATTCATGTAATGGAGACTATTGCTTAATTGAGTGTCCATTTATTGAACAAATTCTTCAGTAACTTTAAGATTATTATTGCAGTTAAACCTTTTCCATGGATCACATAATAAAATAAAATATTCTTATTTGTTTAATTGTTGAGAAATAAGAAACACATACAATATTTGTATTTGTTTCTCATTTCTCACTACCTACTTATTTTTATTTTTAGTACCAATAAATTAACCTATTTCTTAAAAGCCACCTAAACACACTATTTCTTATAATTATTTTCCATTACTAATTAACACCAATATTTCATAATATTAATTGTTGCAAAATAGTATATTTAAAAAACCAATTATTATTCAGAAACAAGAATTTACCTGCTTCTGTTTACTGATTTAAACATGTTGATATGTCTAAGTGGCAAAAAATAATGTGCCACAGGTTGAACAATAATTTTTTAGATACATATGTTACATATTATATATAGTAAATAATTGTGTAAGTTCCTTTTGAATTGGTTTATCATAATTTTAGTAATTCAGTATTAAAACAAACTGATTGTCTACTTTTAATTAAAAATAACTATGAAATGATATTTTACTTTTTTAGTTTAAACTTTAAAACTATACTTAAGTATTATGAAATGATTAATCTTTTCACTAGATTCTAGCGGGTGTATTGATAGTTCAGAATAGAAAATTTACTTGCTTATTTAGGTAAACATGGTCATATCTCTGAATGCTGAAACAAAATGTAACACAGGTTCCGACCATAATGGTCTGCCATAATTTTTATATGCACTTTTAGTATTTTAGGTACTAGGTATAGGTTGTCAGTTTTCAAATTTAGCGGTTTAAAGAGTTTTACAGTAAAAAAAAAAGTAAAAAAGTAAAAAATAAAAATATTGAACATAAAACATTGATATTTAACATATATCAGTTAATCGAAAGTAAAAAAAAAAAAAATGTAACAAATTCAAAATATGAATATGTTGAAAAATCTATGTCTACCCCGACATAATGAGGAGACCCCATATATATTAATTTGGTTATACAATTTTTTTTGTGTACAAAATAATTACTAAAAATACCACTTGTGACAGAATTCTAAATTGTTATTTAATTAGTAATCGATAAAATTATCTATTAAGATAATGTTGGGAAATCTTGAAAAAAAAATAACGAATTATCAACAAAAATTTTATCTTACATTGATGATAAGAAAAAACGAATAAGAAAAAATAATTTCCGGATGATACTGCAGTTAAAAATAACTAAAATATTTGTAAAATAAAAAAGACGGACAACTTTGCCACGTGAATAGGCCACTGCTGTAGGTGAAAAGTTGGGAATATAAAAAATATCTGTACGCAAGTCATTGCTAACGAAAAACTATTCTGAGAGGAGTTAAGTTAATAATGTTGCTTTATCAACAATATAATATAATGTGACATTTTAATAAAATAATTATATATTTTCTTTAATAATATTTGTTTAATGTTGTTTCTATTTTCTCGTGTTTTCCCTGTTTTTACCATGTTTTCCCATTTATTGGGAAAACTCATGGAAAAATAAAAAAAAAATGATCTCCTTAAAGTGCTTATTATTTATTTTCAAGAACCATTTCTCATACTTGAAATGTCCTTTTCCTCAATTATTAGCACGTCTAATTATGTGAAAAAGAATGATTTAAATCACCCAGTGAATGAAATTATACAGACAAAAATATCACTTTTTAGACTTTGAGTGTAGCGAAGAATGTATTGATTTTACTAATATATTTATTTATTAATTATTTTTTATTTTTTTATACTGTATATAAAAATTCTTCCAGAAATCTTGCTCAGATAAGTACACACGGCACCATTTCTGAAATAGAATGTTATCCAGATGATACTTTAAGGAGGTCATTTTTTGATTTTCTAAGCGGTTTTCTTAATACGTGTGAAAAACCAATATAAAACGTAAGAAAAACGGGAAATTTACGAAAATAATGCTTTCATTATTTTTAAATTTTGTTATTTGTTGTAATTCAGTTAAAAATATTCGTAGAGAATTGAAATTGGAACACAAAACTAATATTTACTTTATCTAGACATAGTCAAACTTTAAAAAATTTAAATCATTTTTGACCTATTTATAGCCATTTTAATTTTGCGAGTTTGTACGTAATTTTTATTTGGTAGGTACTATGTGATAAAATTGTTTTTTTTTTTTTTTTATAAAGGAATTTTAATATCAAATGTTGACGAAAATCGTTTAAGTAAATAATTATGTGGAACGAATCTAATTTTTCAATTTTTTGTTTTGAACATATATATAAATTGCCGATTTAAAAACGATGGTGAGGTCAGAACTGAGCGGACTGACTATGTTTCGAACTTAAAGCTTTTGGAAGTTCTGATATTATGTGAATATTATATGTTATTTTAAATAACTCTATATTGTTCATCTAAAAGAATATTTATCGTAGTCTATTGGTTAAAGATACCTCTTGTCATCTTAGGAATCGCGAGTACGAACCGGGTTTTAGAAAAACGAATGCACTTTAGGTGTACCTAGAGACCCTGCTATCGCTCGCTCGGACTATTTTAATCGAAAAATCCTCGATTTGTTGCGCAAACTTTCTATCTAGGTTATTTCTTAGATAACATCAGTTTTCACACGGATTAGTAGAATTTAAAACGACTGTTACTAAGAAACTATTCATTGGATATAAATATGTGATACATTTAAATTTTCAGAAAAATAAATTATACAGAATGACTATCTTAAAATTTTCCAAAAAAAAAAAAATAATAATAATAATGGTAGTCCTCATCGCTGCGAGTAATATAAAAAAGAAAAACACAATTTGATTATTTTTATTATCTCCAGAGATATTCAAGGGATATATCTTTGTGGGACAGCCAGTTTAGTATGTTAATGTAAATATTTAAAATATGCAATCCTAATAATGTTAAGTAGTAACGTACATTGAGTAATGTGTTATAAGGTTATATGAGTGTATATCGCGTAAAAATAAAAAAAAAAATAAAAATTTTAAAATACCTAATACATAAGCATAGGCTATATTAGGTAATTGGCACATAAGTAAAATAAAAAAATATAACTAATTTAACAACTATGGAATTAATATTACTTATACACAGATTGTTACATTTAAGTACAAATTGAAAAATTTATAAAAAAACATTGGTTAGTTCTGGTTGTGCTTTAAGTCTATAAAATACTATTAAATCTATACTAATATATCTGTGAAGGGAACGATACTTATCTAACCGATAATTGTATCCAAATAAAATTTAAAGATAAAGGCTCAAGTTTATCTAAGATTAAGGATAATTTCCAGTTATCCAGATAATTTAAAATAGATCACAAATTTACTTATGTCATATTTGTGAACTATTTACCAAATAGATAAAAATAAAAAAACCCCAACGCTTTTGAGGAATAATAATATTAAAATAATATACATACTATACAGTTTCTACTTTTTACTTATTTACAAAAAATAATTTAAGGTATACAATATTTTAGTTTATCTAGATTATATTTCGGGTGATTTTATCTACACAACCCCAACACTCTAACGACTATAATATCGATAAATAACAGTATAGTACACACAATATATACATAAGAACATAATATTATTTTATACTTTTCACCGATTATGATAATATAATATGCGTAACGAAATATTACAGAGTGATTTTTTTTTTTTAAATTTAATTATACCGTATACTTAAAATAAATATCGATTTTTGATTTTGAAACAGTATACGATTATAATATTTTTTACGCTCGATAAAAAAAAAACTGTCTTTTCGATGAAACGATATTTGATTCGGATTGGATTTGAATCGCTTAATACAAGACAAGTATACTTTTATTAATTTTTCAAAGGATACAAAAACTAAATACTGGATAAAATAATAAAGATATGAAATTATGTATGTTTTTTTTTGTATGAAGTAGGTAAATAAAATGATAATAATAAAATCAAAATTGATAAAAAATGTACTTCCGTAATGTTAGCGATTCGGTTCAATTTCAAAATCAATATACCTAAGTGTTTTTAGAACAAAATACATTCCCCGCTCCGAATCTTAAATCATACATGAGGGGCTGAGCACAACAGTGACCTTACCCACCAAAATTCATTAACTGAGATAATTTTACAATCTTATTTAGGATTAAATATATTCTAATGTAACACCAGCCTATTTTCGTTATATTTATTTTAACACTAAATGGCAGCACTATACAACTATACAACAATGACTTGTTCAACAGTAATGTGTGGGATAGGCCACTGTTGTTATCACAATATTATATTAAAACACTATTACAACAAAACTAAAAGAAAGATGAATTGTAATAACATCTTTTATTCTTAATAAAAGGTTAAATTGTATAATATTGTTATAAATTATAATTATTTCAAAATCTGACCTAAGAAACATGTTTATTTACTGGACAATAAGTATGCGTGAGGACAAAAGTGGCCTATCCAATAAAAATTTGGAGAATTTCGCATCATTTTTCTCTAAATAACTTTTAATATTATGTCTTAGATGTATCAATATATATTAATAAAAAATAATTACTAATTTTTTTTTAATATTGATTTTGTTGATCAATTTTCAAAGAAACTAAAAACTATATTACTTCCATTAACCATTTATTGGAATAGGTCACTGTTGCGCTAAAACCCTCATATGATGGTTAAAAGTTCGAATTTTCAAGAGATAATAATAAAAGGGCTAAACATTTAGAAATCTATAGTTAATTGTTGTTGAAAATTTCTATTAATTAACATTTGAGCTGTTTGAACAATTATTTAAAATGTATAATCAACTATAGATTTCTAAATGTATGGGGGAAAAAAATCGAAATCAAATCCGTACCCGAAAAATAGATAATTGATAGCAAACAAAAAAAAAAATCACTCTGTTTACACATAATACACGGTATATTTTTTAAAAATAAATGGTGTTCGCTTTATCACAGCGCGTTAGTCGAAGTGCCGTTAATCGGTCCACGGGTGAAGATGTTGGATGGTCTCAGACTTTGTCCGATAGAGCCCATTAACTCAACGGTGAAATCACGTATGTTGCCTGGCGTGCTCTGGTTCACATAAAATAACAAAAAAAAAAAAAAAGAAAAAACATAAATTATAACCTTTGTAAATTTAGTAAATATAATGAGAAAAAGAGTGACGTTGAAAGGCGGGGGGGGCACAGGTGTTAGACATCCTGAGTGATTAATACATGGTAATACTATAGACATTAACCCACTTTGTATTTTATTAAACAATTACAAAACTTAAATTATATAATAAAATATAATACTTAAATATAGACTATATGTTATCTAAAATCGTACTCGGTAGCTCTAATAAAAAAAAAGCGTAAGTAAGGCAAGACGATGAGTATTGCTGACCATGGTTCAAGGTCCTGATAAATGATACCTGAAGCCTGGATAACATGACGTGGCCGTGGCGTGCATTTTCTTGGAGGAATATATTTGTAAATTGTATCACATAGTAGAGATGATAAAAGAATTCAAAAAATTAAATGATTTGAGTAAGATAATAAGTGATAAAAAAAAAAAAATAAATTTTTGTTATTCTATCTTAGTGAATATATAGCGAATACCTACATTAACAAATTGACTTATGGAGAAGGTGATAGACAACCCTTCCTCCTCAAATATGCCACTGGCCTGATGTATGCAAGGACGATGTGGGGTTCGACTCCGATTAATTGGAATGAAGGTGAAGGAGAAGGAATGTTATGAATATAAATTATTCTATAGATAATTTTAAATAAATAATAATAATACAAATTTGTTGTAAATCTACTTTTTGTAATATCTACGTCTTTGAAACCGTTTTGGTAGGTATTTCTTATTTGTTTTCATTCGGTACATATAATTTTATCTAATTGATGTAAGTCTATACCGACCTTGATGGCGGACCGAAGCTCCGAGTTGAACAGCCGACGCAGCCCTCGGTAATTTCTGCCCAAAAGACTGCCCAGCGTTTGGCCAGCCACCCGCTGGTCAACGGGCGGCGTTGCCGCCGTGGTCGAACCGACCACGTCCACCGTGTTGCCGGCGGCCATCAGATCGCCGTCCGCTGCGACGGTGGTCGAGGGCTCCTGGATTTTGGCCGCCTCGCTGATGGTGTCCCGGACTATGTTCGACACGTTCCGATAGGCTTGCCGGGCGTCCGTGATCGTCTGGACAACGGTAAAACAAAATGCTAATTATTACGCGATTAAATCAACGCGATTAGAATTAAACCGACGGTTCTCGGACCTTTGTGCCACCCAATATATTCGACCACTCTTTCATGCTGCCTTATTTTTTTTTTTTTACCTTAAACGGCGAGGAGCTACGTTGAAGGATGAAAATTATTGAGTCAAGGGTTATACCGCTTTATAGGTCCTTTTTCTTTTATTATTATTATGTCGGCGTGACGCAATTAAAATTATTCACGATATAAAGGTTAAGCAACGCCGCTGGATTAGACAACATTATTTAGCTGGCATTTCATAATCATAATATATAATTTTTTTATAAACACTATCCCATGTGCAATCGTAATGTATAAGTACGTTCTGATAACAGCCAGTAATCTCTCAGTTAATGTCACGTCGGGTTCATTAGGTTCGAGCGAACGTCATCATCGGTCAGTTAAGAGAACGTCGCGCCCTGCAGTTTATCGGTTTTTTTTTTCGTTGTAAGCGTTTTATAACGTTTTTCATCTCCGATGACTGATTAAAACATTTAAACACCCGTGCAAAATGTCGATTATAAAAACTATTACACAAACATCGAATTTACGTAAACATGTAACCAAAATAAATGTAAGAAAATGTTTGACAATTTCTAGAGGATGCTTCGTCACGGACGGTTTTACCGCGGGCACACTTGTAGGTATTTTGGTACTTATAGTTATTGGCAGTGGCGTATTTATAGGGGTGGATCTAGGGACAGATTCGCCCCCGTGTTTTTTATTTTTATAAATATAATATATTATTAAATTATTATGTAAATTAAAAAAAAAAAATGGAATAAAAATATAAAAATAAATATTTTTTTGATTATACAGAGTGATTCATTAGGCATACTCCACCCATATTTTTGGTTAAATTTTTCATGTATTCAATTTTTGATTTTTGGAATTTTTAAGTGTAGATAAAGCCGATATTTCCAAATACTTAGATATTTAACAATATTTAAAGATTATCTTGTGGCGATATCATTTTTGGTTTTTCAAATGAGAACATATATTGTAATGAGCAACCATAATGAGTTGACATTATGATATCAAATAATTAGTTTTTATAGTTGATAATAAAAAATAAAAAAATAGAGTAATCAGATAAAGAAAAAAAGTGTGTATAGATTGATACCCGGTTAGATTGAGTAATACCCGGTAGGCACTGGGTTTTCGGTAGTTATCAGTAGTCATTGCCGCTCGTGTTCTTGAATTTTTTCATACCAAATGTTTCACTATACTATACGTATGCCATTCGAATCGATTAATCGTTTGCCGTGTACACACGGCGGTTATATCAATTACATTGGCATTGTATTCGCATTATTGTCGAAATTAAATCTATTGAAAACCCGTTGGCGAAATATTCGCTCGAAATTAAAATCATAATTAACGTTCGGCCCTTCATTATATTAATATAACAATATTATAATAGGTATTAGAACAATAATTGGATTCGTTGATTTCGAGTAAGTGTCGTTGTAATAATATTGTTAAGCGTGTTATATTGTAGTATGCACTTTTGTGTAGTGTAATTACGAATGGATACGAGTGGATGACGTGATCGAGAGGTGACATTTTTTTAATGGGTATACATGTACGAAAATGTTTAAGGTAAATAACTTTTACTATGCATTATAATTGTTTCAGTGGCCTGTAAAATTATAATGTTAATTTTTGAAATAATAATTTAATTTTAAAGTCTCATTGCTAACTGTATCATCACTATGTTAGTGTTGAAATCGACACGTTTATATAGATATGATAACCGCCCAAACCCTTTTTTGTCAACGTCCCCAGTCTATACTATAAATATGATCAATTGTATTTTAAATTTTAAAAAGGTAAGACAATGGAGACAGGTGCAGACACTGGTTTTGGTGGGAAGTTGAGAAGGTAGGATATAGACGGGAATTTAATGTAAATCAGTAAGTAACGATAAACCATTGCTTACGAAAAAACGATTCTAAGCGTAGTTCAGTTGATAATGATGCGTTGTCAACAATTTATGTGACATTTATATGACATTTTGTAGTAAAATAATTAAATAGGCTTTATATATTTTCTTTAATAAAATTTGTTTAATGTTGTACCAATTTGTTTATCATACGTTTTTCCCGTGTTTTATATCGGTTTTTCACATTTTCTGGGAAAACTCTCGGGGAAACCAAAAAATTACCTCTTTAAAGTACCTTCCTAGTGAAATTTCTATTTAGAAACATTGCTATCATTGAATGTTGGAGCAAAATTGCTGGTAGAAAAATTGTTTACAGAAAAAATAATAGTACGCTTATATTTATTATATTTTGTAAATTTTCCGGTTTTTTTCGGTTTTTCGCATTTGATGAGAAAACTTTTGAGGAAAACGAAAAATTACCTCCCCATGCCGATTTCCTTTTAGAAAAGGTGTTACATGTAGAAATCTGAGCAAGTCTTCTGGTAGAAAAGTTATCAGTAGAAAAATAAAAATAATCATCTTCGTAAAACCATAAGCTTCTTCGCTCCACTCAGAATCTATAATTAAATTTGTTTTACGTGACTTATGTTATTTATGATTGATGCGAATAGTGCAGATTTAAATAGGAATTTAAACAGTGAACGTACCCTCTTCCCCTACTGGCGGGGGTGTAAAATAATGTGATTGTGATTTTAGAACATTATATCCCTCCAGAACAAATTCTTAATTACGCCATCGGTTTCGACCGCAAACATAGAAACATTATTGTTATTTTCGTATACATCGAAACTCAAGCGTCGTCGATAAAAATCGAATATTCGTTTTTTTTTCTTTTTTAGGCTCCCCGGGTGTTCGCAACACCCATAGGCCATTATAATACAATGCACGTGACCTCTATGCACGATTTTCGTTTACGAAAATGACATTACGCAATGACATATTATTGTAAAGTTATTTACAATATTATTCAAAGCCGACGACCGATTAACCGATTCGCGAACGTGTCTATCAGTGACTATTTTTTCAGACTTTCCGCAGTGCACAGAATATTATACATGTAATTAAGTTTGATATAAATCTAATATACAGGGGGTCGACGGAAATCGAAATTGTCAACACTAAAAGTTATTTTAACTAAAATATCATTTATTTATTGAATTTTTAATGTTGGTTGGTATTTAAAGTTCAAAAATGGATAGGTATTTTACCTCCCAAAAAAATAATAACAAAAATGATACTGGAGACGGGTGTGGTCAACTCTTGTAACGATTAATTTAATATTAATTATTAATAAAAATCAATCGTATTATAATGCATGAGGAATATGAATGGAAATCGTAAAAATCACGACATTTCAAAACATATGTTGTTTATCTGCAAACTTCGCTCCGAATCGTTTATCGTTGTATCGTACCTTCTCAATTTTCCATCATTTTCCCTTGGAATTTCAACGCAAATCACGTAAATTAGATAAAATATATGTGCGAAATTAGTTACCTATATCTATGAAAAGATACCGCCAATTTAATCGAACCGAATTCGAATGACAAAATATGCAAATAATAATATACTTTTATTAACTGACACGAACAACTTTTTCAGGGCGGTATTTTATTGGTGGACGAGAGGGAAAGAAGTAAATTTGCCCGGGGGGACGGAGGGGCGGGAACTTCAATATTTTAACATAAGCATGTACCCGAAAAAATGAAAAAAAAAAAATTTAACAAAAACTGACAGCAATTATTAATACTATATCATCAAAGTTTACTGAAGTTTTGGCCGAATGAAGTAAACTGCATTTTTATACATTTCAATTTGTTGGGTCGAATTAGTTTTGTTATTAAATCAAAAACCGAACGCTGTGTATACTCACTCCGCCGATCAGTGAGAAAGTCAACGACACGATTCCAGGTTCGCGATTGGCGTTTCTGTTGAACAACTGTCGCCTCGGTCTCGCCGTGACCCGCGCAAGAGCGTCGTCGTTATCGCCGTGCCTGCGCAAGCGTATCTGCTGCTTGTGTTGCTGCTGCTCTAGTTGCCACAGATGGGGTTTCTGCAGCGGGTACTGCTGGAGTCGCTGTTGCTGTTGCCACTCGCGCAGATACCCGGCAGCCTGGGATCCGTCGGACACGGCGGCGTGGGCCATGGGCACTACGACGGTGAAGGTCCACAGTGCCGCGGACGACAGGACTATGGCCAGGAAAGCGGCTATCAGGACGACCGCGGCGGCGGAGGCGGAAGCCATGAACGCAGCGGCCTCGGGCGGCGGGTCACGATCGTCGTACTCCGCCGTGGCCGTCTGCGGCCTTTTGACCATACTCTTCCTACCAGCCGTCGTCGGAGAGACGCCGACCGTCTGGTAACAACAAGTCATACAGTGACCGCAACCGCAGCAGTCGTTTTCGTCGGTCGATATCATGATGGTTTCGTCGGTCGATACCATGACGGTGTCGTCGGTCGATATCAGGATGGTATCGTCGTTCGTGTTTCGGTCATATCTAAACACATCGAAAACAAATTGGTTATTATCTATTTATTTAACGCATGACTATAAATAGATTCATAACAATATTATTAGCATACAATTAAGTATGCATAGAAAAAAACCAGTTGAAACATCGTGATAATAATGGCAACATTGGTGATATAGGTATCGGTAGGTTAGGTCAATGTTATCACTATCCAATAGGTATAGTGATGACTTAACCGAACACTATGCAGCTCCATCTTCTGAATTGTGAAGATTAACCAATTCCCAATCCGAACGGATACAAGTGGCACTCTTGCACGTTATGCGTCATCGTTCGTTTATGACTTCATGAGGTACGCGCAGCGTTCTTGACTAGATCGAAATTTATTTATGAGTGATACCCATCATTGTTTTCTGGGCAGGTCTACCTAGGTAGACGGTCAGCTATAAGGGTCGTGAATTAAGTAATTATTTTTGGATGGCTCTTATCCTTCCATTTATCAGTCCGTTTATTTGTTATTATTGATCACTTGGGACTCGTATATAGACAATATAATTTATTATCCCGTCCCGCGCAAAAACAAACGATAATATTAAATTATAATATAACTGTAGCGATATAACAATAAAAACCCGTTTCAAGTGGAAGTTAAAATTATTAAATTATTTTCGATTGTCCGCGATTTAACGAATTTCGACAAAATTCGATCTTCAAACTCTTTAAAAAAGGTCTATTGCGCTCAAACATGTATACGATAGGCACTAACGATGGGTACTACTGAATTGTTTAAACTATCGATAGTTTGGATGAACTATCGAATATTTTTAATAAATAAATAACACAATTTGATCAATTTTTTGAAAAACTATTCAAATAAGTTTTCCCCATAACCGAGTAAAAAATATTTGTATGGGTCTTTTCCATAATCAAATAGTTAAACTATTTAAATAGTTTTTAATTCTTCAAATATTTAGAATGCGACAACCATCGAATAGTTAGACAATTCAGTTGTACCTATCACTATAATATGGGCACCAAACAAATTTGAAATTTACATGAAACGAAAAACCAATACATTTCCATAACTTTTATCACCTGGTTATTAGGATGATTACAATGAGTTTAAAAAAATTACCACTTTGACACTATTAACTAGATTTAAAGTCATTTCAGACATCTCGTATGAAGTTTTTCATCGGAGCAAGTCTTCTGGCCAAAGACTCGTTAAAAAAGAAAAAGCACACACCGTGTAGTTAAAAGTTAAAACCAAGATATTCCTCGTGCCGGAAAAAACCATAAAATATAATATTTTAATTTAAGATTAGGGCAAATCTACTTAGTCACGGCTCATATAATTAATCAACAAAAATAATTTTATTTAGACGTTGAACGGATAGTGTTTAGTGGGTGGAAAATTGGAAGTTGGAAGTTGTGCATATACATTTATTTAATTTATATCTGTAAGCAACAATAAACTATTGCTGATGAAAAACGACTAGGTTATACTGTTATACAGTGTTTCTTTCAGACGATTTTATCCGGGGGGGAGGGGGAGGGGTATTATTAATATTAAATCAAGAAAAATACATTGTTTGATAATAATTACCTTTTTCTAAAATTATGATTTTGAACAATATAAATAAATACACACAAACTCACAAGTTTAACATACACACGTCATATATAGTATTATTTATATTATTATGTATCAACGTTATTTTTAAACACACACAGTGAAGTTATATAATAGTCAAAAATAAAATCTAAAAATACTATCTACTGAAATATTTTCTAAAGAAACCCCTTAATTAAGCATTAAAAAAGAACCATACATTTTTTTCAATTTAGTGTCTTGTATATCAAGAGGGCGAAACAGTGGTATATATACTTATACAACAGTTTTATACTTGTTTTGAAAGGCCGTTATATTTATGATTTTCTCCAAAATTTGATTTTAAAGTTCTCAAAAGAAAAAAAGAAATACTACCTACATTGCTTTTTTTTTTGTTCACTATAAGTACGACTTGTAATAAACCTCCTGTTAAATTTTCAAGCATTTCTGTTAAGTCTAACAATTTTACTTTAGAGTACCTATTGAATAAAAATTACGTAAAAAAATCGTAAAATTAAAATTTCTATAAATAGCTCAATGATGGCTCAATAAAAGTTTTACCACGTATAGAAAAAACAAATGTATGATTTTTGTCGAAATTTGAAATTTGTACGAATATTTTTTTTAAATTAAATTATAATGAAAAAAAAAAAAACAAACGGATAACTTCATACGATGGGTGGGCCACTGTCGTAGGTAAGAAGTTCGGAAGGTAGAGGGGAATTTTTATCTGTACGCAAAGATTAATCATTGCTAATTAAAAAAGATTCTGAGCGGAGTTCGGTTATACATGTTTTGATAGACTAATATTTAGATTTTGAAAATAATATATTTCGTATACATTTTTCAGTTTTTCCTACGTTTTTTCTCATTTATTATGAAAACTTCTGGAAAAATCAAAAAAGGACTTCCTTAAAGTACCGTTCAGATAAAATTTTCTTTCAGAAAAGGCGCTACACTTGAAAATCGGAGCACGTATACTTCTTGAAAAGTTGTTAACAGATAGAAAAAAAAAATCACACGCCATAAGAAAACCAATAGATCCCTCGGTCCGCTTCGAATCTACTCGTGATACGGAGTGTTCTGCAGTGTTAAGTAAGCGTTTTAGCTACGCGTTATCTCTCCACGATGCAAAAAATATCGAAATGTCGACTCTGCCGGCGGACGGTCGCGGTCTATGGTGCGTATAAAAGGCCGCTGAAAATTATATAATTATAACAAACGAAAAACGATTCGTAGAGAACAATAATTACGTAACGATTTCGATTGTTTAACGGCGCGGGACTGCGCAGGCCTCTTGGGAAATGGGCTAATTAACTCCGTTACAAGATGCTCGCGAACTCTTCCTCCGGACATACGAAATACGAATATTGTTGGCCTGGAGAAGCAATGGTTTTATTTTTATGTTTTACACGTAACTCCCACGGACATAACCGGTCCGGTATTCGCCACAATATGATTATATCGTAATACATAGGTAATGCAATTAGTATTTGTATAGCGATGCCGGATATACGCGGTCGGACGATTCGGAAATATTTATAAACGGTCGACACGATATCGCGCTAAGAGATATTCAATTTGTTTTTTTTTTTTTTTCTGTAACGTTCGCGTAACCGAGATACTTAAAATACAATATATCATTATGCTATTATATTATGTTATACGTATTAACGCGCCACTCCTATGATACAGGGTGTCCCACAAAGACATGCCCACTGCAATATCTGCAATATTCTGTTTGTTCCTTTTAGATTCCGAGCGTAGCCAGGGAGCTCTATTGGTTTTACAATGCTGTTTATTGTTTTTTCTTTCTTTATGCTTTGTTCTAGTCTGTGGACACGTTTTTTTCTAAAATTTTAATTTTTTTATCCGATTTTCAAGTGTAACAAATTTCTGAAAGCTTAAGTTGTCTAAATTGTATACTTTAACGACGTCATTTTTTAAATGAAAGCACTTTAGTGGGAAAAAAAAGTAAGAAAACATATAATTTCACGATTTCAAAATGACGGCACTTCAAATTATTTATTACCGAACTGCGTACAGAACCATCAAGTAATTTCGTCAAGTAATGGTTTATCGTTGCTTACAGATATAAATTAAATAACCTTATGCATCCTGCCTTCCGAACTTCTCACCAACAACAGTAGCCGCTCCCATCTCCAGTATTAGCTCTTTTAATATTACTCACACGGGTAAGGACTACAAATATTTTTATTTCAATTAGTGTTTTATGATTTGGTAAAAAAAAACTTTTAGTATGGCCCCTGCGCAAGGATAACACGTAAAATCGTGAAGCGTTCCACATTTTTGTATAATATACTTATCATAATACTCCAGGCGACGCATTCATTCATTTATTTATTTTTTAATTCTATAGGTACATTTTATTATTTATAAATTTATTTACTATGTTTATTTATGAGTATTAACCATTTTAACTCTATAATTTTATTATAGCCATTTTATAGAATTTATTCTTCTGAAAATGTTGACGGATTAATTTTTTTCCTCCATTAAATTCGCGGTTTTTAATAGTTTTTTAAAGTTCAAAGAAAAAGAATGTGCGGCCAATTAGTCCTAATAATAATAATAATAATAATATTAATAACAATCAATTAGCGAATGTGATTACAGCCTGCTGCATAACTATATGTAGGTACGTTTCTATGAACTTTAAAAATCTATTAATAACTACGAATTTAATAGAAAAAAAAATGTATACGTCAAAATGTTTAGAAGAATAAATTTTACAAAATGGTCATCTTCAAATTTTTCAAAAATAATAGTCTACAAAGTCATATTTTATTTTTTTTTTTCCATTTTTTACCAAAACACAAAATATCAAATCTTCGCGTTTAACATGGAAAAAATTAACAGAATTTTATTATCTTTATATTATCTACGGAGATATTACAATAAGTATTTCTTCGTGGGACACCCTGTATGAACGAATCCGGATAATAATTATCGTTACGTATTATTGTAGTTTTTTTTTCGCGTGAGAGCTCGCCCACGCGGAAGTCCGCGATTCACCTGTTATTCGTTTAGTTGAACGCATGCGAGTCCGTCTTGTGCAGTTGTGTGTATAAATATAGGCAATACATAATAATTTTAATCATTGGTTGGACGTTACATTTTTCGTTGACATAACCGAGTAGTTTTATTTTGTCAAGTTAATGGGAAAACGGCGCGAATTTCGTGCGTCTAGCGCTAAATTTACCGAAATAAAATTGTAGATTCAATGAAATATTAAATTTAAAAAAAAAAAAATCTGATACTGAGGACGGGTGCGCCACTGTTGTAGGTGAGAAGTCGTGAAGGTAGGAAAGTACGCAAAGTTATTTAATTTATATACTTGTAAGCAATAACGAAAAACGATTTGGAATAAAGTTGGCTGATACATGTTTTGAAAAAAATTCTTACCCATTATCCCTAGTCCTACGGTTGTACCCTACCCTACCCATACCTTCCCTCAATCATCTGAAAAGACGAAATTCGGTTTAAAAAAAACGCTACTTTTTACGATTCGTTTGAACCTAAAAATTACAGATATTTAAAAATAGTAAAAACCAACACGATTTCAGCCATTGTACGTTCGATAATATTTTAGAAAAACAAAAAAAATACTCGCTTTCGATATCATGCTATTTAAATTCCGCTATCTGTGTTTAAATTGGCGACCAAAGTGCCAAAATGTTTGTGCTGTGTAACGTAATATATTTCGCTATATTTTCCGTTAGTTGTATAAGCTGAAACAGTAAATGCGGTTTACAAATGTTTAACAATGAACGGCCATTGATGTGGTCTAACTTTTGGTAGTTTCCGGTCCGAAATTTATTTGTTCCTATTGTTATATGATAGAAATACCCTGGGGCCAGAGGGGAATATCATGCGAACTCGTTACGCATCCGGACCGTATAGTTTTTCGCTCATAATAAATATTCTCAATGAAAATCCACAATGAGAATAATAATATTAATAATAAAAAGACGGACATACTTCACATCATGGGCCCATCGTCGGTGGGCCACTGTTGTAGTAGAGAAGTTGGGAAGGTTGAGAAAGTTGAGAAGTTGGGAGGAGAAATTTAATGTATGTCTGTAAGCAGCGATAAACCATTACTAACGAAAAAACGATTCTGAGCGGAGTTCAGTTGATAGTATTGCTTTTTCAACAATATATGTGTCATATTATTGTAAAATAATTAAATAGGCATTATATATTTTCTTTAATAAAATTTGTTTAATACTGCGTACCTAATTTCTCGTCTTTCTCAGTTTTCCCATATTTTTCCCATATTTTCCTACTGTGAAAATTCCTGGGAAAATTAAAAAAACGCCTCCCTAGTACGATCTTCTTTCAGGAAGAATGCTACATTTAAAAATCGTAGCAAGATTTCTGGTAGAAAAGTTGTCCACTGCAGAAATAAAAAGTTAAAAATCCTTGTAAAATCATAAACTTATTCGCTCCACACAGAATCTAAAAAAACCAACAGTTTTTCAGGAGCTAGTAGTAAAGGAATATTAATAATTATATACTTCCAAATCACCAAAGACCGCGACAAATATATTACAGGTACCGATGCTTCTATAATAATGTGTCGTTATTATAATTTAACTGCTGCAGTTTTTCAACGAAAATTCAATATACCTAGGTACTTAAGTATTATTAAGTTTTACACATTATAATTACATTATAATAGCGACGATTGCAATTATCAAATGCATATGTATGTCCGTAGTTTAGTGATCATTACGCCGTTACATTATAATTCAATGTAGTTTTTTTTTTATTATAAGAATTTTAATGTCAAATGATGACGAAAATCGTGAATATTATGACTTTTCAAAATATAATATATAACCGAATTCCACTCAGAATCGTTTTTCGTTAGCAATGATTAATCGTTGCATACAAAAATACGTTGAATTACTATATTTATCCTACCTTCCAAACTTCTCACCTACAACAGTGACTCATCCATCCTACGAAGTATATCAGTCTTTTTTTTTAAATTTTGTTTTTCGTTATTAGTTCAGTAAAAAATAGTTTTTGGGAGGATTTTTCGGTTCGTTTAACTTGAGAAACTCGAATTTATCAAGTTGATTTGAACCTGTATTATGCCAATACTGTTTGCGAGTCGGAGAGTTCGACACGAAATTTACTGACAATAATATTAATACTATTATTAAATTCGAAATGGTGACAAATCTTAATTGACTACGTATCTAACTGTTACTATCTATATTATAGGTAATATACTACAATGATGTGTTGCGTGACATCACAATCCGGATTTCTGCAGATTTCGGATTTCTATAGTGATACGATTATGTAGTTTTTCAATTGTATACAACTATATTTAAACACACTTCAAATACCTACAAAGTTATAGGGTATGTCTGATTTATTATTAAAGAACCGTTTTTATAATATAATCATTAGTCGCACAGTGATTGAAAAATTGGTATGTGGAAAACGCTCGTAACTGTTGAAAATCGAAAATCTGCGACAGTCTAATCGAAATTATATTACTAAACGAAATCCGGATTCTCGAACTCGGGTCGCGACATTTTTGATATTTTCGCTATCGTTACAATATTATTGTATTAGTATACGTTACTGTCTATCAGTGTTGCGAAGTGTTTTAAACACTGTGTTTTAAGTCCCTACGTTCGAAACGTTTTGCACATAATTGTTTAAAACGCTAAAACGTTTAAAAATTTAAATCGAAATGACTGATATGTTCCGAATAATGGAGATATTTTGTATTATAGTTCTTATTCATTATAGAAATATAAATAAACATAAACAGCCAGTTTATATTACTATTGGACAAAGAAGTTACATTTTTTTCGATTGTTATTTTATTATTAAAAAAATTTAATCGTGGCACATTTCTATTTATAATCAACTGCTATGATATTATAATATGATGCTTTATAAATTTAATGTTTTTAAAAAAAAAAAAAACACGTTTGAAAATGTTTTAGATTCTAAATGAAGAGAAAAAGCTTATGGTTTTACAAAGATCTTTTTTTTTTCTATGGATAACTTTTCTACCAGAGACCTTGCTCTGATTTGTATATATAGCATCTTTTCTGAAAGTAAATCGGTGTGGGAAGGTGCTTTACAAGGGTCGTTTTTCGATATTCCCAAGAGTTTTCCATGAAAATGTGAACAACCGGGAAAAACGTAGGAAAAACGGGAAAATCAGTACATCAAACAAATATTAATAAAGAAAATATATAATGCCTATTTAATTATTTTACCAAAATATGACATATATATTGTTGACAAAGCATCACTATCAATTGAACTGCGCTCAGAATCGTTTTTTTCGTTAGCAATTGTTTTATCATTGTTTACAGGTGTACATTAAATTACCTATAACAATGGCTGCACCCGTCCCCATTATCCTAGGACAGATTTTTTTTTTTTGCAACCCGGCTGCCTATGTTAATAATAAACTAACCGTAAACAATGAACGGCTTTATAGACATAATTACATTTGCTTCACGATGCTATAATATCTTTGTTCTTGAATGAGAAGGACTTAATTTTGTTTTTTTTTCTGTATAATTTTTTCTAATGCCATTATTTTACTTGTATTTTTTCGGTAGCATAAATTGCGTATAAGTGCGCGTTTTTAAATTTAAATTGTTTCATAGGTACCTGTTGAAAACTATAAGTAATCGACTTAAACCCTTCTTCCCCAGGACCGCCGAGGATATTACATAGTATATATATATATAGTGTGTCCCATGTAGATGTACCCATTTAAATATTTCCTGAGATAATAAAGATAATCGAATTCGATTTTATTTTATAATACTCGCACGGATAAGGACTACATACAAATATTCTATATTTCAAAATTAATTTATTATGTTTTAGTAAAAAAACTGTAAATTTTTAGTTTATTATTCTTAAAAAAATTTAAAATGGGCCGAGAATAAATCTATAAAAATGTCTATCTTCAAATTTGTCGTTAATTATAAACTGAACATTTATTTTTTTAGGTTTTTTTCCAAAGCACACACATTTAATTCGAATACGAATATTGGTATTCTTTATCGTTGTGAGTAATAAATGAAAACAAAAAAAATTAATTATCACTATTATATCGCAGGAGATATCGTAATAGGTAGATGCCCGTGGGGCACACATGTACACACCTGTACACACATATTTTAATATACAGGTAACAATAATAATATTATACTTACGAGTAGATTCCATTGCTGCGATCCGGAAGATTTTCGATGGATCGCGATTTTTTAACGTCGTTTTACACGCACGGCTATATCATAATGGTAATAATTATTTGTATTATTTACTCGATCCGTCCGAACGCACGCACGTCTGTAGTCTCGCGCTTACGATAACGTATATTATACCGAATGTACGTACGGCTTGTGTATACAAGACTATGGGCAATAAAATTGCGATTGTTTAACGAGGGAGTGAGGAGGGTAAGGGGGGGGAGGCAGGTCGAGAAATCGACTAATTATACTTCCGTCACGAAACGGGAACTCTTCCTGTACATACTTGTACCCGTCCGATATTTTATTATTTATTACTGTTTACGTTGTACACGACATACACTTTAAATTAAAACAATTATAAATAAATAAAATTAAAATATAAACTATGCGTTTGTCGTCTCTGAGTTACAAACGCGCACGGCATACCGAATTCGCGTTCGACAGAATCGATTTTGTTGCTTTTTTTTTATAGTTGTATAATGTTATTAGAACGGCAACAATAATAATATTAATCATTGACACATATATCATGATCGAACTTATACGAACGTTACATCCTATATCAGTGGCGCGCCCAAGATTTGTAAATGGGGGAGGGGGAAGAGAAGATAAATTAACAAACCTCGAAAAAACCGTTTTTTACAAAATACGTAATTATTGTACACAGCTGAATAATTAGGGCGCAATGATTATTATCTTATTAGCAATGATTTGTCAAAGCTGAGTAAAGGGGCCTCGTAACAGTAATATTATTTTTTCGTATTTCCCACGGCCAACGAGGGGAAGAGCCCCCTAAGCCCTTCCTCCGAGTACACCACTGATCTGTGTGTTATTTGTACGCAGATTTATTTTCCGATATTCACATTTATTACGAGATATACAAGCATATTTAATTTGTGCTATTTCACACGCTCTCTTATCGCTTTAAAACTTAAATAATGGATAAAAGATAAAACCTACGCACTTTCATATACATGTGACGGTAATGGTCTTCTTATTAAGTCTGATAATGGATATTTTAAAATGCAATCATTATTGTTTTCGAAAAATGTGACTGTTTTTTTTTTTTTTTTTACTTAAATAAACGATAGTTGTCTTTTATCATTAGCTATCTAAATAGATTTTTGATATTTTAATTATCTGTGCAATCTGAGGATTATGCTGTATATATGACAATTTTTGAATTGATTTAGATTCTGTGCTTTTCCCCACTCCCTTTTTTTTTTTTTGTTATGAACAATCTTCTACCAGAAATCTTATACCGGCGTCAACTTCTATGGGGTGGTTTCTGTCGTTTCTGATAGTAGCCAAGTTTTCCTATGATTGACGGTTACAATTTTAAAAACATTCTGGTGAATTTTAAGTAACTTATTTTGATCCGGAAAAAATGCTCGACAATTTAACACGAGGTTAATCAAAATTCGTAAGTGGTAAACGAAAAAAAAATTCGCATACAGGTAGTATAGTTTTCTTTATAAGCCTATAAAGTCAACATTTTGACGAAAATCGTACATAATCGCGGATACTTTTTTTTTTCCAGTTGCGATAGACTAGTTTAATCGACAGTGCTTTTCGCGAAAATTTCAAATTTGAAACAAAAAATATTATAAACGTGAACATACATTTCTGTTTAGAAAAGTATTATCTTTTCGAATTGGAGTTTTAAAACGCGGGTTTTCTATTTTAAAATTAGTACACTGTTCACCCTGTATACTCATCACAACACAGAACATATTATATACGAATAAGAAGAATAATCATCGATCGCGATCCGTTTTATATTATGTATAGTGACGTCAGTATGAAATTTCCATTCGGAAACTGCCGTTTTAGAAATATTTTTGACCATTGAATGGATATTATGTCTAATAAAAAAAAAAAAAAAATACGATCAAAATGTGTTTTCGTCGAAAAATATTTTATCGCGAAATTCCAACGGTAGAACTTATCGTAATTTCGAATTTTTCACCAATATTCGTAAAATAATTAAAACCACAAACGTGTAAAATAAAATACGAACAATTGTACGTTTCTTAAAAAACTTCCAAGTAAAAAATATTAATCGCCAGTGTAACTAGGAAGGGGGTTAGGGGGAATTTGCCCCTAAAATCATAACCAAGTAACAGACATTTTTGGGGTCAAAAGAGACGATCCGTCAGTAAGTTCAAGTCGCAGCAACTTAAAAATATACTAGTTACGCCTTTAGATATAATCACAGCTAAATGTCAATTTTTTATTTGAAAAACCGTTCGATCATATGAAAAATTTCGATTACATGACATTCGATTGTGATCCTCGATCGAAAACGACACACACTCGGCAGACGTCCGACGATTAGTTTCTGCAAGCTCCATCTAGCAACGTGCCTAAGATTTTTCAATTTGGGGGAAGGGGGTTGGTTGAGAATAGAATTTGAATCGTGTGTAGAAACCAAATCAAAGGCGGTGCACAGTACAAATACCTATAATAATATTATTATCAACATATTGCTTGCCGAAACGAAAAAGATGACATCTCATTTCAGATCGTATCTTTTTTCAGCGGCTTATATGAGCCGTTTTAGTATACGTGTTTGACCCTGGCAGCCGAACAAAATATAGTGCAACGCTTGGAATTGATGGCTTTTGATTTTGAAAACAGATTTCATTTTGTATTCTATAGTTTTAATTTGAATTATTTTATTATATCAACCGATTATTTCAATACAATACTTCGAATATCGATTATTATTCGTTCGGCCGATGGCTCATTATGGCATGGCACGCGGTAGAGGCATCTAAAGGCAGGGTGACTATTCCCCCTCTGCCACTTTATGGGTAATTTTTAGGATTTTAGAAAAAGCGCATCAACTATATATGTTTAATCAAAAGTACTAAGGGTGCTGAGAAATTAGAAATATAGTTTGCGCATTGATTTTATATTATATAATTTTATTGTATAATGTAACAGTGGCGGCGCGAAGAAGTTATTTTTGAATCACACGATTCGCGAAAAAATAGGTAGGTAGGTATTGGGTACCTAGGTGTTCAGAAATATTAAAAAATTAGTATGTTTTTACAAAAAAATTCATTAAAATAATTTTAGAATGTGAAAATTTGATAAATTTCATTAATGACCCCCAAGGAAACTTGGTTTTATCCTTGATTTGTAGATTTTGGGGTATTATTGGTAGAGGTGGGTGGGTGGTTATAGAAAATTAAATAGGTGATTCAAGGTTAAAATACTTTGCGTTGCCTCTGTATTATAACATAGTACCTATATAACAAAATCAATTATTTGGGTATACACGCGAGATTGAGAAACGAACGCGTTCCGAAGACGACCAATAGTTTTTAAGTTGCAGAATTTGATTAAAATTAAAAGCCGTTGACGTTATATGTTAGTTATCAGTGACGTACTAATGAGAGCTAAGGTTTCTTTAGTACTCCCTCTCCTTCAACATCAGTATACCGCATTAATACACAAACAAAATAATATACACTATGTGCGATCTTCGAAAAATGATTACTAATAGGATGAGTATAATAACTATTGTACATTTACACTATAGTTATCAATAATTATACTTGCTCAACGAAGTTCAAAATAAAATCGTACTACGCAGTTAAATATTTCGCAAATAAACGTCAAGAAAGGAATTTTAGTACATTATAATAGATGTAGAAATATTTCATTCGCTTATTAACACACTTATAAGTTTCATTTACTAATATATAAATAGCATTTCTCTCCCCGTTGAAAAATCCTGGATACGTCACTGTTGGTAATAGCAGCATACAAGGTTACGGTTTTAAGCCATTAGCTATTGAGTACCAAAATCGTTATACGAGCGAATGCTATAAATATTTTTGCCATATTATCATGAACAAATCGTAGTTATGATTTTATAATTATGGGAGGGGGCGGAGTAAAATGACAAAATATTTCAAAATAGTTATGTTAAAACTTAAAATGTTTTTGTAGATACATAATATATATAATCATTTCGGAGGTGGGTGAAATATAAACCCCACGACTCCCCTTCCGGTTGCGTGCTTGCTATAGTTATACACTTGTACTTAGTATAAACACCGAAAATTCACGATTTGTGTTCCCGGGCATTTTTCAGCGAATAAACACGTTGCGCGATCACACCCCTCCTCCTTTAAAAAAAATAGCTCCATGAGCGCACCTAACCTCCTCTAGACTTTTGGACTTTTACCGGTTGTCCATCTCCCCATCCGGCCCAGTGAGAATATTTCCTGTCCACATAAATGTATAAAATTTGGTTACAAAATCTACCAATTCAATAATTCACCATTTTATTATCCAATGGACGCGCGCGGTAGGGAACTTTATAACTGTGCCGTCCAATGGACTTTACCGTGTGTCAATTCCAACACAGAAAACCGCCTCGAAAAACGCCCAACCAAACACGGATGTCTTACACATCTTACACGTACACGCGTCCGGTTCGCACCGACAACCGGGTTAGGTCTTCGTACCTTCGGGATTGTGGTCCGGATATTCCCCGGTAGACACCAACTCTGCCCCACCGAAACGTTGTTTCGCTACCGGTCGTTTCAGATTGTCTCTGTTTCGGGGGAAGATTCGGAGGGAACGAAAAACCGCGCCCGATTGACCCGATAGACACATTTGGAGGAGTTTGAGCGTAAAAGCAAAAAAAGAGGGAAGGGGGGGGTTGGAAAGGCGGCCGCGCGCAGACGAAGAAAACCGGGAAAACGGAACCACCTCCGGTACTCTTCTGCTATACTATACTACGCTATTAGTTCTGCGCTCCACTCTATTATTCGCTAACGCGGTCGACAACGGAAACAGATATCCGGCCGTGTAATTTGTTCATTAAGTATTGTTTTTTTTTTTTTTTTTCTACACTCGTTTTTATCGGGCATTATTATTCGTGCGTATTGTTTGTCGCCGCGCCGTTTACAATAATGTAGAGCGCCGGTCGTCGGCCTCGCCGTGACTTTCACTCTTACTGCACACAACGAGAAGTGCCGCGGCGGCGGTCCGTTTTCGATTTCTCTCTCCACACGGCCGTTCCCTCGCCTACATACGCCGCCGCCGCCGTCGTCGACCGCCCGCCCGCCCGCCCGCCCGCCCGTCCCGGTAGCCTTATCCTACTTCCAATACGCGTACACACAACAAACGCGCGCGCGCGCGGTAATAAACTACTGTCGTGTTGTCACGACCGAACCGCGAAGTGATGCAACCGCTTCTCGGGCGAGTCCTTCGTCGCCGCGTAATAGTAAACACGGCGGTCCGCGTGCGCCTGCCCGCGTAATCCAATATCGACACGTTCCCGCCGTCGTCGCGCCGTGAGAACGACGGATGACACGCGAATTCGGTTCCCCGCCGCGACCCGTCCGCGCGATGCGACCCGCCATTACAGTAAAACGCTGATACCGTAATATATATACGTAACGGACGGCACGTGCCCGTAAAGCTCGGGCGTCCGCGCATTACGCGAACATCAATAACGTCCGTGTTCCCAACGAACGGCGACGGTATTAGCGCGTGACTAAGAAAAGTGCCGGGTCGAAGAACAATATTATTATTAACGTTATTATGCCTTAACAATATTACGCCCCTTGAACGTCGAACCAAAACAAAGTGAATCGTATATTTCGTTGCATAGAAGTTATTTGTTATACAAATAATAGTTTGCGCGCAACGATTGTACGGGCGAATAACGCGATTTGTGTGCGGTTTTTTTTTTTTTGTTTTTCTACGGTTTAAATTATCGCTGAACAACAATTACCGACATAAAAATGATAAACCATCAGAATATAATATGGAACAAATAAGTTGGGTCCCATGGTCGAAGAGAAGAAAATCAATTTTGACCATGAAGTTATATCGGCCACGAAACGCAAATATGATCGCGTACAGAACGATTGTTTCAACGGTACCCGATAAATTTCACGCTCACGATTTATGGACATTTCGTTATTATTTACGTTTTGCGGCCAATAACTTTGTCAACATTGATTTTACCCATGTAAAAAATAACTAGAGGGCCATATTTGAGTGCTTATTGTGATATTAAACCGTAAAATAAAAAACAGACGGACACACTTCGCACGGTTGGTGGGCCACTGTTGTCCGGCAATAGTTGGGAATGTAGGATGTAGAGGCGAATTTAATGTATATCTGTACGCAACGATTAACCATTGCTAGCGAAAAACGATTCTGAGCGGAGTTTGGTTACATAATATGCTTTAAAAGGTCGTAAATTTACGATTTTCGTCAAAATTCCTTTATCAGAAAAAAAAAAATTACATAAACTTCAAATTTTATTTTTTTAACCTCAAAGAACGACTTATAATGAACCTTTTATCAAATTTTCAAGCATTTCTGTTTAGTCGAACAATTTAATCCACAAATTATACCTACCTACCGAAGAAAAATTCGCAAAATTAAAATATCTTCGAATAATTCGAAAATGGCTAAAATGTTTTGAACATTTTACCACTTCTAGAAAAGGCAAATATTAATTAACTATCCGAATTTTAAGACTTTACGATTATTTCCAACTGAATGACAACAAAAAAAAAAAAACAACCATTATTTCCGATTCTCATTCTAACCTGTTTTTGCGGTTTTGTTAAATTATTCAAAAAATTACGCGAAAAATCAAAAAACGACTTTCTCGTCCGCCAACTAGATTAAAAACGCAACAAAAAAGGTCTTTAAAATATTAAAAAATAATAAATAAATAAAATGCGTACAAATTCATTTTAAATCGCCGTTCGTAAAACGGTCAATTTGTTTTTCGTGAAACAATATTCGATGGGATTGTTGCATGAGCTCAACAATCCCGTACAAATAAAATACAAAGTATGACAAAGAAATTTTTTTTTTTTTTATGGTCTACGCACATATTACCCGAATGTTCGAGAAAATCGAAATTTACCATAATTTTCAACCAAGAATAGTGCATATTACTGTATCGATAAACACGATTATTTTGTTAATCAACCGAATTCGGATTCGTACGGGTTGTTGAAAACTACGGCGGGAAGGAACCGGCGTCGAATCGCAAACGCGTTCGGCACTGTTGCCCGAACATTCGCGCGCGTTCCCAACGCATTATTCGGGATCCGGCGAACATCGACGCCTCCCGATAGTAATATAAACGCGCGTTTGCGAAACCGATCGCGGCAAATGTCGCCGTCGCCGCGGGCCGCGAACACGGTACGGCTCGGCGTGTGTATTTTTTCGCGATATTTCGGCCGTCCAATAACATGCCGCGCCGTTCGATACGTTCGGGCGTGACGCGCGGCGGTTCGGGCTCGTGGGTGTCTTTTCCGTTTCTCTGTTCAAACATTCCGAACGCGCCGCCGTAATGCCCGCGCGGCTTAGCCCGGATAAACACTGCCGGGTGTCCGCGGCCGTGCATTGAAATTCCCCGCGCCAGTGTATTACGGAAAACGGCGGCGGGCGGGTCAGGAAAAAAAAAAAATTAAAAACCGGCGATATATCGCGGTGAGGCGGGCCGCGCCATAACGGTAACAGTAACGATAATATTATGATAACAGTGCGGAAACATTACCCGTTGACTGCAGCGGTGACCATGTCGTCGTCGTCGTCGTCGTCGGGCGGTTGGACCGGGTCCGCGGTGGATTGCTATGAGCCGCGTCGTTGTCGGCCGTCCGCGATCGTCTGTCCGTGCGCCGGGGCGTCCCGCGCGGAACGGCGGCGATCCGCGTCAGACATGGTACCCGGGCCGCGGCGCCGGGTGTGAGAAGGTCGCGAGAGAAGTTTAAGGATGCAGTATGGTACCGGGACGCGGTTTGCAGCGGCGTATAGTTGCAGCGCCCACAGTCGCACGGGTGAACTACAGCCGGCCCGGCGCAGTTGCGGCCGCGGCGGTTTTCTCACTTCGGGACTCCGGTTGCGAGGGGCGGGGTGTGGTGGGGTGGGGCGGCTGGAGGGGCGTGAAGGACGGCCGCGGGCCCGTCGCGCGAGTGTCGGAGTATCACGTACGCGTAAGAGGAAGAGATGGTAACCGCGCGGCGGCGGCGGCGGCGGTAACGGTCGGACGGGCCACGGTTCAGACGGCGGCGGCGGCCCGTATAGGCGTACAGGTATAGGCGCGTGCTTGCGTACAGTCGGAGGATTTTTCGGCGGCGGGCACGACGACGCGCGTCTATACGACAACGACAACGGTGTAGCCGCTACAGACAGCGGGAAAAAAAAATAAAATAATAACGATGGAATGGGGAACAAAAATATCGAGAAAAGAAAACCGCGCGCGTTACGGGCCGACGTCTGTGCGTGGGGACCGCGGCGGCCTGTTACGGATGAAGTAACAATATTGTTGCCTGTATAATATTACCCGCGTTATGCGACAGCGGCCGAACACAGAGACAACGTTGTCCGGCCCGCGCTGTTATTATATCGCGGCGGCGGCGGCGGCGAGAATATTACAGTCGCGGGATTGCATCACAATGTAATAATAATAATAATAATAATAATAATAAAATTATTATAGCCGCCGCCGCCGAGTACCGGTCGGACGGTCGTCGGCTCGCGCCCGGCGGGGCCGCCGTACCCGTTGGGCATTACATTTGATTAGCAAAAACAAATTAACTGTACGGGTGTGTCACCCACGTGGCCGGTTTTGCGTCTCAACCGTCGCGATAGCTGTACTCGGGATTTCTATACTTTTTGGGGCGGCGGGGTGGCGGCGAGGGACGTGGAAATGTGCCGTGAAAAGCGAGCCGCGGGTGCCGAGCTCCCGGACCCTCCCCCCCGTCACGTCTAAAAACACCACAGGATAGAAAGAACGGGGACGGGGGAATACCGTACGCGGGGCAGTATCGAATATAATCGGAATGTTGTCCGCAATAATTTTTTGATATCACGGATGTAAGTTGAATAACACACGAATTCGAAACGGTTTGTTTGTTTATTTATTGATTACGATAATGCGCGTGTTTTGATATCGCGTTTTCAAAATAAACGCCGCTTAACGTCGTCAACATTTCAAAGACTCGATTTTTATGCGCGAACAAATTGTACAGATATTGTTTTAATTATCATAATTCAACAGCTAATTAAGTGCGACTAACATTTTCAGTTGAGATACATTGATTTATCAACCCGATGTTTGATATGAAGCTTTTAGTTGTCTTGTGGGGCGAAATCGTATAGTTATACACCGTACGGTTTTAACCACATTGATATTTTGACAATTGCTATGGTTGAATAGCATGTATTGAAATGTTTTAAATTTTATTCGAAAATCAAACCGACGATCATGGTTGGAAGATGGGACATTTTCAACTAATAAAGTTGAAAATGTACATATCTTTACCTAACCAAACCCCACACTCGGGGTAAATCCGTATTTTTCCAAAAAGATATAAAAAACAAATTAAACATATTTCGCCCCGCTTTCCCCTACATTAATTCATAACATAATATTAAATTATATTATAATATTATAATGTTCCCCTATCAACATTATTTCTACCGCTGCAATAGTTTTCATCGGGCTCCTCAGGCAATTTACTGTGTGTCAGCATCGCCTACGTCATCGATTTTTATAATATTCTCTATATCAGTACTTGCAGGAGGCCCAAACTTTTTTTTAAAAAATGTAATATACACTTGAATTATTTCGTTTCATTTTGATCAAATATACTCGTATGTCGTCATTACACTAGAGTTACGTATTATTACAAAATGTCAAAGTAATACGCATTCACTGTAGTTATCACTTATTAAATTTTTCTCCAAAACAATACACCGAATAAAGAAATTTATTTCGTCGTTGTAAAATCAATAGGTCATTCGTTTCGCTCAGAATCTAAAACATTACTTCTATGGAGATCTTAGGTCATTATGTATAATGTTGAAATATTGTATTGAACTAGGTAAATGTTAATGTCAAGCGTAGCGACAGCAATTTTTTTTACACGGTACCTAATCAATAAGAATATCTTTTTTCACAGTCGATTTTTGCTTATTTTTGATGATTTACGCGCGGGTAGTAGCATTTATCATTATTTTAACGACTTCGATACACATAGTTAACATAGTATTTGATGATCACCACTGCATTATCGCGCTATCACGATAGAATACACGATCACGTCCGCATGATTGTTCACTCACAACAATGATAGTAACTGCCATAAGATACACTATAACGGTATGGACAATATCGTTTATGTTTCTCACTATCACGAATGCGAAACAAAATCGTTAGATATTTTTCTCGGCAAATTATTTTTTCTTAACTTTTTCAAATTTAACGTTTTTGATTAATAATAATGATATAGGTATTTTAATTTACATTATCGTTATCATGAATGCCATCACGTCTATAAAACCCTTTTGGCGATTTCAACTTTTCCCCTCATCAATCCTTTTTATGCTCAGATTTCATGTTTAATTAAAATGTGTATGTATCAATTATAGAACTATTGTCGAGAATGTGTCTTTAAAATGTTTGAAATTTCCAACGCCGACCCCACCGTCAGTTTGTTTGCTATAACAATCTCTACAGAATTATTTTACCTATATTTTGGTATTTAGTTTTTGTTTGATTTTACGACGGTAAAATTGTTTTGGCCAAACCGATGAGTTTAATAATTGAATACGAGATTCGTCATTTGTTTTACTCGATTGTAAAAACAAGTTCGGGCGCATTTTAGTTTTTTGGGTTTAAATTTCGACGAAAATCGTAAAACTCACGGTGTTTCAAAAAAGTTGTTTCAAAAACTTCGCTCAGTATATCGTTGACAATGATTTATCGTTGTTTGAAGATATAATTTGAATAGTTTTCCCAACTTCCAACCAATGACATGTACAACAGTAGATTTACACATCCATCACCAGTATTAGGTTAGCTCTACTGTTTTTTTCTTTTTTATATATATATATAAAAAAACTGTAAAAATAGCAATAATCGATATCGATCAATTTTATAAATCAAAAAAGTTTTTTCGTGAAAAACACACACACACACACACACACACACACTTCTTAGTGAAACTAATATACATTCCTCACTTTGATCAGAATCTGAAAATGGAAAATGTTAAAATTTCAGTACGACACGCGTATGGCGTAAAATAAATGTCATCAAAACACGGTGTAGTATAATGTAATAATTATTCTTATGTTCTCATCGTTCGTTTCCTGTATCTAGGAAACAAACAAGTATATTTACGAATCTGGGTTTTTTAAACCGAAAAATATCGTTTGCTGGTATATGACGAAATAATTACGTTAGAGAGACTGCAGCAGCCTCCGTATAATTTCGACAAGGCCGTCTAAAAAACCAGTCCTATGAAACACGCTGAAAAGCAAAACCACCGTGTGTATAATATTCATAACATACTACACTATCTAACGACTTGAAATATAATATTTTTCCCATCGGTTTATACGTGCCACTTAAAAATAATTCATTCGAATTTCGAGTAAACGTTTTATCGAACTCTATAGGTTGTATTATAATATTATGATTGTTTCCGTCGATAATATTATGTAAATCGATCTGAAGAATGCAACAGAAGACTCCGACGCTTTAGCGTTTTATTTCAGAGAAATAAACGAAATGTGCAAGGCACAGTGTGTGGAAAATAATTTGGTGGGGGGGGGGTCGGGGAGAGGCGGGAATTGTGAACTAACATCTTGTAGCGTTCTTATTTCGCTGATTGAAATAATTATTTTCTCATAACATAACACGAACGAATTTTGGGGTGGGATTCAAACCTCTATAACCATCTTCTGGTACGGCATTACGCGAACGGAAAAAGCAGGGATCAATAATAAAGACTGTTATCGAAAACAACCTAACAAGGAAACGACCACTGGGGAGACCTAGAGGGGGATCACTCGGGAGACCGCACTCGAGGTCGTATTGTTATAGATGTAGGAGCGGTGGAACACGCGGGTTATCACGGTGGAGTATTTACTTGGAGAGCTGGTCTTAAAAGCCGTTAGCCCCGTTTGAAGTAACCGACAAAATAAATGCAGTGATCGTGAAATTAGATTATACTATTAATATTATTAGTATTATAATTATATTTACTACATTTTGTCGTGGACGTCATGGGTTTTTAATCAACTGACACGTCAATGAAGATTTAAAAATTATTAATTTATGGCAAAATCAGAATTTTAACGTTGACTTTGTTGCTTTTTGTACATACTTTATAACGTACAATATATATTATTAAACCTGTTTAATTATAAGTTATAATTATTAAAGTCAATACGAGTTTACTATTAAAAAACAAATTGTCATTTTTTTTTTTTTTAACTACCTTTGATATCCTCTTCCTTTGTAAAATGCTTGCGAACGCCCGTCATGGTTTTTATATTCAAAGGTTAATTGTATACAATACCTACAGGAGTATTGCGCGTTTCGAAACGTTAGCAAATAGTAATTAGATTCGGTTTTGTAGAGTCCCTGAAAAATAGATATACTGCGTTTATTAATTAACAACATACAAATTGAACAACATTAATTAGATTTGCAACTATACATAATAAGCAAGTATACGAAACGCTCGAAATTGAAAAGATTTCTATCGCATCGTTCGTCGAGAATATAATGTATACATAGAATAATAATAATAAAAAAAAAAACTAACGAAACAAACACGCTGCAGGCAATTTGAATTCTTAACAAAACTGAACAGAGTATTTTAAATTTCGATA